AAATTGAAAAAACTTAAATCTACGGATTCTATTATTTAATATAATTTTAATAGAAAAGCAATATAAATAAATAATAGATCTTGCTAGAATTAAATGCATTAAACATATGAAAATTGTTTATAACCTAAATCGATTGGGTATAGGGCATAACACTTACAACTTAGTTGAAGTTTTGGGGGTGTACAATGATGGTGGTGGTGCTAGTGGGTGAAAAGTGGGGTGTAGCAGTGATGGTTTTGGAGTTTTGGGTTGGTTGGTTCCTCCAATATGCGTAGTCGGTGTTTTGGAATGTGTGGTAGTCGTACAAGTGGTGATAGTGATGCTACAGGTGGTTGGTGGATTTGTGAAAAGGTGTAGATCGTGCCTCTGGCGACCCATATGGCTGTTGTAACAACGTAGATCACAGTGGTGGTGATGATTCTTTTTTTGGTTGTTGGATGGGTGTTTTTGGTGGCAGTGGTGCGGTGGTTGTAATGTTGGCTATGATATTTGAGATGAGAATTTTGTTGCAAGGAGGTGGTGGTGTTGGTGGTTTTGGCGACGATGGTTTCAGCTGCAATACTATTGGTGGCAGTGGTAAGGTGGTGGTTTTATGTGTTGGCGGCGGTTTCAAATGATTTGGTTGATTGTGAACAATAAATTGGTTCATATGTGACCAATGCAATAGATAAATTGTGACCAATAAATAATGTGATCTAAAAATTTGTTAATTTGACCAATAATTTGATAATTTATAACTTAAATATAGTTTGTGGCCAATTAATTTGATGTTTCGTGATCATGGAATAAGTTATGACTTAAAAAATTTGTGATTTTTGACCAATAAATAATATGAGACCATTAATTTGATAAATTTGTGATCTATGAAAATTTTTAATTGTGATAGATAATTTATTTGTAACCAATTAATTTGATAATTTGTGACCAAATTGTATAAAATCGTGATCTTATTTCTAATTAATTATTTCAAAAATAAAATTTAATAAATATCTGATTTTTGAAATTTTAATCATTTTATCTTAATTTTGAAATGAATTATACTTAAAACTGTTATTTATGAGTTTTGTCCCTTTAGAAAATCATAACAATAATTGTTGCAATTATAAAGTAAAGTTTCAAAATTTTAGAGGCACGAGGACGAGGTTGGAAGAATATATGGGTTCCGGAATGTCAATTATTATTCACAAAGTCCCAAATATTCATTTTATAATAAATCACCCAGTACTAGATTTAATCCCAATATAATTGAGTCTTGAATCATATATCGTATAAAATTAAAAATTATTTTTTATTCATTCACAGTCAAACATTAATTTCAATCACATATTCACAAATACTGTCCATTCATTAATCATATATTTTATGGTACTCAAAATTAATCCTTCTAAAAAGATACTAATAATTTTATACCAACACATTCATTTGTTTGGGAATATTTATAAATTATTCATAAATGATCAATCTTCATATTCAATCACACAAACCAAATTTTTAAAGACACAAGTATGTGTGTGTGTATCATTGTTGCTTGGCCGGCACTTATAACTTTGGCAACAAGAATCATATTCGATAATATATATGCGACATTAGTAAAAGCTAGCATCCTTAAATCTTGTACTATTCTCCATTGTTTCATCTACAATACTGTTCTAATGGCTGAGAAGAGTAAAGAAAAAGAGCTCTCTGAGGAATCACCTATGGAGCCATTAAACATAACAGGTAATACTTATCCACTTATTCAAGATTATTGCCTTTTGTGTGATGAAACTCGAAATTTTTTGCTTCGACTCACTCGCCCTCTAATTTCTGACTAGTTTTTGCACGAAAATTTCTAACGGTTTTAGTTTTTAAATGAAGCTATTCATCTGCTACTAGTGTTTTTAACCCGTCTTAATTCTATGCATTAAATCAAAGCCAGGTTATCTTACAATTTGGAGTTTTTGGTGTTTCTAAGGTTTCCCCGGACGTGTAACTGGGAAAACATCATGGGCTGAGGTTGTGGGGCTGACAGCAGAGGAAGCAGAAAGAAAGATAAAGGAAGAGATGGCTGGGGTTCAGATTCAGGTAGTTCCACAGGATGCTTTTGTAACCATGGATTACCGGTCGAACCGAGTTCGTATTTTTGTTGATTCCTCTGGAAAAGTTACTAATCCGCCAAGGATTGGTTAATATTTTATCAGCTTTCTCACAGAACTAAACTATGTAATCTTGTGATTAAGAAATAATGATGTATCAAAAAAATGCTCTACGCTGCTGCTTTATTTGAGAAATAATCACTTTAATACTTTACGGAAAAAGTAATGGTTTGAAAGACGTAGGCACGTACTAAACCACGTAGATTCTTGTCATTGTCTATTTATATTTTGCTTAGATCTCAATTTAGGACTATTGGCCGATCTACAAGACTCGTTCTGATCGAACTCACCTTCCATTTTTTGGTCGACAATATCAAGAATCCTACCTTCTCTCCATTTGTCCCACACCTAATCAAAACTAACTCCTCTGGTCCTTCCTCGGGTTCAATTGGCCTACGCCCACAAGCAACAGAGCACCAAAGGAAAACACATCAGACCTTTTAGTGTCTCGTCCTGTCCTAGGAAATTCGAGTGCAAGGTACCCCTATAATTTTGCCAGTCCGAAAACTCCAAATTGTCCATTCAATTCACTATCTGGCAACACGGTGCTGGCCTTAACATGTCTCTGTATTACAATCTGTTTTTATTCTTCATGCAAATATGAAAGCCCCCAACCAACACCTTTGATCAGCTTGAACCTCAGTTCCCAACTCATTAAAGATTTAATTGACAAAACAAGAACTTATCTAAACTTCCTTTGGGCATGAAATCATAAACAGGTAGAAGATCACCACCACGTCTGCACCATCCCAATAATTGAACTAAATTTCTATGGCGAATCCGACCTATACTGGAAATTCAGAAACATATTCACTGCAAACCCTGTCTTGATTCTTGTGAGATACACTTTACAGCAACCTGGATCCTTGGATTAGGTAGTATCTCCTTGTAAACACGACCAAGTCCACCATTACCCTTGAAACAGCAAATAAGATTGAACTCAAGGTAAAAACAACTGCCAGCACTGAGAGACCTACAATTAGGCTTGCATTTTTCTTTTTCGTTCCTGGAACTGATGGGAAAAGATCGAAGTCCAACGACTTGGCTTTTCCATTTATTTTCAAGCTCCAGACTAAAAGGTAATGGGAACTTGCTAGCAACCCTGCTGAAGCAGAAATTTCAACGTACGTATTTTCTTCGACGATTGGAGAGAGATCCACTGGGTAAGACAAGACAGGCATTTTAGGCTTTGAAGACGAAGGTGAAAGAGTAACATTCATAATGTTTGTAACCGAATCATACTCCATATATCTGCCTACATGGTTGTGATTATACTAAAGAAAATACTTAAAAAAAAGTGTTATTTCATCCCCATTTTTTGTTCAAAACATAAGGATAGAAATCTGGTTTAAGATGGAATATCAGGGATTTGGGTTTGGATCACTTTTCTGTTGTCCACGTAGGATGCTTGCCAGTCATTTTGGACAGAATTGGATTCTGGGACTAATGGGGTTCACGGCTTAAAATTAAGGGATTAACGAAGTTCCATTTTAAAGTTTGAGAACTTTTTTTGCACTGTGTAAATTCTGGGGACCATTTTGGTTTTACTCCCAGCGTTTATAGTCAGAAATTGAAGCCGATTGTCTTAGGATCGAAACAGCGATCTGGTTCAAAGAGAGTTGAAATATGGATATTTGATTCAGCAATGTAGGATACTGATTTAAATTATGAAGTTGGAGAAAGGTTTTTCTTAAATTTAAATTTTGGAGAAACTAATTCCACTTTTGCTCCTTTCCAATAAAGATAATTATACATTTTAAACAGTTAAGGAAATCCAGAAATTATTTGTAGAAAGTTCCATTGTTGATGGCATCCTCATTTTCATCTCCAAGTGCTGCCTCCTTCAAGTACTTGTCTGATAATTGGACTCTCTTCACATTCTCCTGCTCTTGGACAAGCAGGGATCCATACTCGAGGAGCTTTTCGACAGTCATTTTTGGTTGCTCAAATTCTGGGAGTTTCTCCCTGGAATTTACGAGTTTTCTCCCAACATTTTCTACACCAACACTTGCGATCCACTTCCTCACTTCATCGTCATACACTCTTGCTCTTATGGCACCGAAAAAATCTGCACACAAGTCGAACTCTTTGTATTAATCGTAGGCTATTCACAGTTTCTTGGATTTTTTCAATGGTGAAATCAACTACTACCAACAAAAAGCACAATTTAAGTAGTAGCTGCACAGATCAGGGAGAAGAAATTACCAATAGATTGTCCAGGGAAAGCGTCAACAAGTTTTACAATGTCCTCTCTAGGCACGTTATCTGTCCTGAAGATACCCGTGCAAACACCAATTCTGTCTTCTCTAGTTGGTGCCCAGTAGAACTTCTCCATACGACCATCCCGGATAAGAGGGGCGTACAGCGTTGAGAAGTCATTTCCGGTGACTATAATAGGGACCCGAGGATTCTCCTGTTTGTTGTACATACCGGGGAGCTGAACATTGGTTGGATTATCAGCAATGTTCATAAGGGTTGCATTCACCATCTGGTTATTGACTGTATATTGTGTAGTTCCACCAAGTCTACCAGCCCCTGCATCAAGATCATTGATGAAGAGGACACACATCTTTCCCTTTGCAATTCTGTCGGCTGCCTCACGGTACCTTTGCCTAATCAGTTTAGCAGGCTCTCCAGCATTTCCACTTTCCAATTCTCCAGCACTCATCATAATTGGGCTGAAATCAAAACATGAAATAAGGTCTTCTCTAACCGCTAAACACCAAAGCTGCCAATGTAATTAATCATCAATGGATAGCCTTTAGCCACATTTTTAAAATAAGGTCTGTTTGTTCTATAACTGATTTTCAAATGTTAGTTGTCTTTCGACCATAGCAGAAAATCATAACATAATAGTACAACTTTTTCCACAATTTAGAGGACAGCGTACTTGATTCCCATTTTAGCAAAAACAAGCTCGCACTGGAATGATTTCCCCTGACCTTTACCTCCCCATATCCCCAATATGAGTGGAACCTGCAAGGAATTGGACAATGTCATCAATTTTGATTTTATTTCCCCGTTGCTTAAACGACTATCAGTGAAGACTAAGAACCATAGCAAACCTTGATGTTTGGCAGGTTCATGAAGTTCTTGGCTATGTGAATAACGAGCTTATCCATGAAAGCAGGGGCAATGTAGTAGCCATTCATATTATTATCAAATTGGTATCTGCACAAACCACACAGTGAAAATAATTGAAAATAACGTGGTTTAACATAATATCAGTCAACAAAGATACTATATTCAAATCTAGCCGCTACCAACTATGAGTACCGTCAAGTTTTAGGCTTTTGATTGAAAAGACTGCGGCCTATACGTGCAGGGAAAAATTTAGATGGAAATTTAAATTTATCCCCTCTCTTACAAGTTAAACTTTTAGACGAGGTGATTCAACACAAATTATCGTGTAAAGATTTAGGAAGAAGAAGAGCAAGAGAGTCATTACTGGCGAAGACCGGCACTGATGTAGTCATAGGAACTCATGATTGCATGGTGAGTACCACTGCCCATGGGAGCTTGAAACAGTGTGTCCACCATTCCCTTTCCTCTGGTGATATCCTGCTGGTCATCAGATTCATCGGTTACAAGCCCCTTCCATCTGTCCTTGTCCGTCTGTTTCTTCTCATCAACTTCTGCTACAACCTTAAAACTCCTGGACGAAATCTTGTCGTCGATTGCTTTAGGGGACACTACATTTAGCCTCTTGCCATAAAAGGTGGTTCTTGGGTGAGAACCATTCACTTTCAACTGCACCAAGAACACATTTTTTCTTAAACCAGACTCCATTCTACTAATCAAATTCTCTTAGACATAAAATCAAATACATGTGTTCCATAAAATGATTAAGACGATAATACAATTCGATGGTTTCAAAGCCTCGTACAGAGAGAGACCCAAATTGGAAACTTAAATATACTATATGTTAAAAGTTGCGATAATAGCAGAGTACCACTACTCCATTAACACCTCCAATTGCTGTCGAAACTGAGGCACCCATAGCCATTTTTTAGTTTCTTGGTACGCAGTATTGATAAAAAATGGTGGCGTAAAAATGTTGTTTGTAGTTGTGGGCTGATCGAATGAATTATAAATATTGCGATATTTAAAGGAGGTATGGGACAGTGACATGGTTTTTTGGATTGCGGGAAATCCCATGGATTTGGCGACGAATATCTAACAACCACACAAATGGCGTCTAATGGGAAACTGGATAAATACCAACAAAATGGAGGCTTCTCAGGAAGTGGAAATTGTTCTAAAGCTATGAGGTTGAGGTTTATGCTGAACTGTGGTCCATGAACATGTGGGTTTTCTTTATTTTAGTAGTATGGGAAAGGAAATAATTTTGTAAACCAAATTGAATAAAACAAAAACGTGATTTCCAGAAGGAAGCTTACTTTTGTTTTTTGAAGCGTGCGTTTTTTCTAAATTTTTAGTCCCTATAAATATAATTCTTATTTCATTTTCAATTTTAAAAATAATACCACCTATTTCGTGGTTTAATTTAAAGCGTGATTGAAAAATGCAAAAGTATTAAAAATGTAACTTTTAAGTTTATAAGTTATATATAGGTAACTTTTTATCGAACATGTTTGAACTTTTATAGAAGTTACTTTCCTTCTGAATTATTTTGTTCAAACATGGATTTTCGAGTGGTATGTTTTTAGAATTCATGTTTGTATAAATTGGACTTACTAGTGCATTTATGTTTGAGAGACTCCAGTTACTTTTTTAATAAAATTATATGACGAATTATCGAAATTCTTTAAATAAACTAATCTTGCAACTACAACATATCAACTCATCTATAACTTGAGAAGAATGTTATCTACCATGTTTTATGATATTTTTCGAAATGCTATTGTGGGTGGTATTATTAAAAGTCACATCTCTATTAAAATGCTTTTTAAATGCTATTATAAAGTACTATAAAAAAGGGTAATTGGCGCAAAACTTCCCCACCTTTGACGGTTTTTGTGGAAAACGTCTCTACTTTCGATTTTTTTGGCGCATAACGTCCCTACCTTTCACATTCTTTGTGTTGAACATTCTTTTCACCAATTTTTAACATAAAATGACCAATATACCCTTATATTTAAATAAAAGAAAAGAAAAATAAAGAATGAATTGTAATTATAGGCCCAAACTTTTTAAAAAGTGCAAATAACCCACCAAACTTCACATTCTTTAAAAAATTATAACTTTACCCTAAACCCATAATTCCATGAGGGTCCCCACAATTTATAAATTGCAGGGGAAGCCCCCATCCCCAAATTTGACCAACCTGCGAAGAAACCTAGCAGTTTATGGAGCCGGCTGCTTTTACTCCAAATTCGACCACCATACTGCCGGACAAACCATCGGATTTCCACACCACCGACATCTCATCATCCCACTCTACAATCCCACCAGTTCACTAATTGGTTGATTCGGGACAAATTTATAAAGACTCGTATGTACATTTTGTTCTCCATGATGGGTAGAAGATAATGGTGGTGGTGTGCGACTGTGAATCTCAACGTCGACGCCAAAATTTGGGGTGTAAATTGTGTGGTTTGCTACCTTCAAGTTGGGATGAGATCGAATTTGAATTAAATTGTTTGTTTGTGATATGGGACCATGAAACTGCTCACCTTAAGTAGTATTAGAAGCCTGTAATGGAGTTTGGTCATGGGTGTTGAAGTGTTGGCCATAATTGATGTCTAAACAGTGCGTGAAGACGTGTTTTTGAGCCTGGATTTCATCCGATTATGGATTTGTTAAGTCATATTTTTAGTTTGGGATTGTAGAGTGGGATGAGGAGATGTTGGTGGTGTGGAAATCCGGTGGTTTGTCCTGTTGTATGGGTTCAAGTTATGTGAAGTGATCATTGTTGCTATGTTTAAGTCATTTGACAATTCTTATATCATTTTACTGTTGTATGTGGATAATAAGCTCATTGCAAGGTCTAGCGTTGAGAAGATTAATAATCTAAAGAAGCAATTGTCAAAACAGTTTGCAATGAAGGATTTGGGAGTTGCAAAGCAAATCCTTGGTATGAGAATCATTAGAGATAAGGCTAATGTTACATTAAAACTTTCATAATCAGAGTATGTGAAGAAAGTTCTCAGCAAGTTCAACATGAATGAAGCTAAACTAGTGAGCACACCCTTGGGTAGTCATTTCAACTTAAGCAAAGAACAGTCACCAAAGACAGAAGAAGAAAGGGACCACATGAGCAAGGTGGCCTATGCTCAGCTATTGACAGCTTGATGTATGCTATGGTGTGTACAAGGTTAGACATTGCACATGCAGTGGGAGTTGTGAGCAGATTCATGAGTAGGCCAAGAAAGCAGCATTAGGATGCAGTCAGTGGATTGTCAGATATCTGAGGGGTTCATCAGATACATGTCTTTGCTTCACAGGTGCAAGTTTGAAATTGTAGGGTTATGTAGATGCTGATTTTGCTGGTGATATTGATAGTAGAACTGGGTTTGTATTTACTTTGGGTGGTATAGCCATATCATGAGCTTCAAATCTACAAAAGATTATTATTTTGTCTACCACAGAAGCTGACTATGTTGCAGCAACTGCATCTAGGAAAGAGATGATTTGGCTACATGGCTTCTTAGATGAATTGGGTAAGAAGCAGGAGATGGGCATTCTATATAGTGACAGTCAGAGTGCAATCTTTCTTGCTAAAAATTCGGCTTTTTGATTCAAAATTGAAGCGTATACAGACAAAATATCATTTTATCCATTACCTTGTTGAAAATAAGCTAGTAATACTTAGAAGATTTGTGAATCTAAGAATAAGACACTTGTTGGCTAAGGGTGTCACTATTGAGAAGTTGAAGCTGTGTGCAGCTTCAATTGGCCTTCTAGCTTAAAGATGGGAGGATGAGTTGCAGGGATGAGGGATTATTATTATTTTTTTTTTTGGAGGATTGCGGTTGATGTTGGTGATTGAACTAGTCTCCAAGTGAGAGATTTGTTGGGCTTTGTAGAGCCTAGATTTGTTTATCCGGTTGACGAACCGACCCGAATAATGTTGCGTGATTTTTTAATGAGAGATTTTCTTAAACTTAGTTCATGGAGCGAAGACTTGGGCCGATTGGATATAGAAATTTGTGGAAATTCTTTTGGCCCGTTTTGTTGCCCATTGTGAATACTGTGTGTGTGATAAGAAAACACAGTTTTGGTAATTAGAGTTCTTCGTGATATAGAGAAAAAAAACTGTACGGCCGTACTTTATATTTTTCTCTGATAATAGTGAAATCCCTGGAACTTCGTGGACGTAGGCAAATTGGTCGAACCACATAAATATTGTCTTGAACGTGTGATTGTTTTTTTTTTTGGCGTGTGTTTTTTCTCTATTTGTGTTTCTCACAGGTTGGGAATTTTGGATTGATTCCCTACAAATATTTACCCTGTTCAACTTCAGAAATTTGGAAGCGTTGTGCAAAAACACAATACTGTTTTTATTTTTCTCTTGAAATGTCAATTGTTTTGAAGAAGACAGTCATTGAACATCACTGTATAGATATTCCTTTTTTTGAGTTTTTCATTCACAAGTTAATTTTTATGTGCACTTTCTTTTTTTATTTCTCCCATTCCCCTTTTAATAAATGAACAAGATATATTGTTCTCGTCTCTCACTCTCTTCAATTTTAACCAGAACAGTTAAATATACCTTTGTGTCCTAACAACTGTGTATCATCCAGACGGCTCGACGTGTCAATCTACCCTGTTAAGGTATACGTCACTAGTTCAACTGGTAGATTATAAAATCACAATATGATTTAAAAACATCACCATAATATAAAGATTAAGGTCTACTGCAAATACTCAAGTGTTCTCTCTCTTTGCAATTAAAATCAGAGATATATTTGAACCTCGTGAGTTCTATTGAGCATGCTCAAAATTTTCTCTGATGTGATTTTGAAATACCTTTGAAGCCTTTCTTGTTATCAACAAATCTCATTCATCAGAAGATGAATACAATAATTTATTTACACCCTGTTGGAATTAAACAGTCACAAAGATAACCAAAATAGTAAGAACAACACAACACAACAATTTTTCGTCCTTAGGCCTGGATGTTCACCACAGAGTGGCTAATCACACTCCTTCACCGTAGTGGTTATCGCTCAAATCAACTAGAAACCAACAAAAGTTTATCAAGTAAAGATAAGAGACCCAAAAGAATCTCTCGACTCAAACCA